CATACTTGATCCATATTTATTTACATAAATATATTTTTAGCTTCTTTTTTTTTTTTGGTACCAGGGATCAAACTCAGGCCCCTGCGCTTGCGAGGTAGATGGCAAAACCACTGAGCCAAATCCCCAGCCTTATAAATATTCTTTTATTTTACTGACTGACTGATTGATTGATTGGTTTTTTGAGAGAGGGTCTCACTATGCAGTTGAGACTGATCTGGAACTAGGGAGCCCGGGCTGGTCTTGAACTCACAGCGATCCCCCTCCGTCTGCCTCCTGAGTGCTGGGATTACAGGCGTGTGCCACCACGCCCGGCTTATAAATATATTTTTAAATTAGGTGTTCTAGAAAACATAAAGGTGAAGTTTCAGAGAAAATGCTAAGAATATACAATGGTAGAATTTTTCTCAGGACAAAGTAACAGTATTTACAAGCAGTACATACTAGTAATTACTCTTATCCTAAGGAAGTTATCTTGGAAAATATATATCTAACTGTAGGGATGACAGTGGAATACTACACAGCCATATAATGACACAGAAAGGTATACTCCATGAAGTCAGCTCTCTGTATCCATGAGCTCCACATCCACAGAGAGTCAATGAACAGTGGACTGAAAATATTTGGGGACAAAATGTACTTGTACTATACATACACACTTTAAATAAATTATTTTTATTATTTTACTGTAATACAAGTAGATATTAAAGAAAGAAAAAGCAATTCTATGAAAAATAATTTTTCATAATAAAAATAGAGAACAACAATGGTAAATACACTGTGTAATATGATCTTAAAAGAATAAATTTTCATTTGTTAATCTGTCTCTCAACTCATTTTGTCAATGAGCAATTCTACATAATTTGGGGGAAAAAATCATTCACAATTCAAATTGTTATTAGACCTACTTTTCCTGCCTACAGGCCAGCTATGGCACAATATTACTCTATTTTCACCTCCGGTCACAGCTATAACTTCAATGGTCCTGGGATTCTGTGATGCTGTAGGGCAAGATTATACCAGCTGAAGATAATCCTGGGGAGGAACAAAATCATCATTTACATTTGCTGCTCCTGATATACTGAACCCATTGTCCTCGGAGTCATGTTACATTTATTACTTCCCATGTACAGAAAAAAGGTGTGGCACACTCCAGTTTAAGTTTTGCTGCCCAGAGCAGCATTGATCAGGCCCAAAGCACAGCTTCTTCTCTAAGTCTCACTTATGTCTCTAATACTTTTTTCTGTACGAGGGACCAAACTCAGGACACTGAGCTTGTGAGGCAGGCAGCAGCACCGTTATGCTAAATCTCTGGCTACTTCTGTCTATATTAATTAATTTGCCTTGCGCTGCCATGGCTCACAGGACACTAGGACTTACTGCAGAGGTTCTAGTAATGTCCCCTTTCCCTGTTCCCTACATCATTCCCTAATAATACTATCTTTTTCTTTGCATAGAACATTTTAATTATTAACAAAGTATTTCACTCTCAGTATAATTTTGAACAGTTCCATCCTATTTCACAGTGTTTATTATACATTTTGGTCCTTACACTTTCAGAGAGACAATTTGATAGTTTTATGTGTTTGATTTATTTCACTTAAGAGTATGGTTTCAAGGTACATCCATTTACCCAGAAACGTCTCGTTTATCCTTCTTTATGGCTGACTGACTAGTACTCCATTATATATAAAAAAACACATCGTTTTTATCCATTCATCAGCTGATGGGCATCTGGGTTGTTTCCAAGATTTAGCTATTACAAATTGTGCCTCTATAAACAAGGGTGTGCATACATTGCTATTGTATGATGCTTTTAATTCTTTTGGGAAGATACTCTGAAGGGGAATAGATGGATCAAATGGGACCTCTAATCCTAGTTATTCTAAGGAATCGTTACACTGATTTCACCAGTCTGCACTCCCACCAACAGTGGAGAAGCGTTCCTTTTTCTGTACATTCCTGCAAGCATTTGTTGTTGATTTCTTGATAACAGTCATTCTTTCTGGAGTTAGGTGGAATCTCAGCATTGTTTTAATTTGCATCTCTCGAATGACCAGTGTGATGCTGAACATTTTTTCATGTTTATTTGTAGTTTCTACTTCTTCATCTGAGAAGTGTGTATTCATCTCAGATCCCCATCTTTGGGTTCGGTCTTTAAATCTGGGGGGGGAGGCTGTTTTTTTTTTTTTCAATTCTTTATATGTTTTAGATAATAGTCCTTTGTCTGAAGACCCACTGGCTAAAAAATTTTCCCACCCTGTGGGTTGTGTCTTCACTGTTGGTGATTTCTTCTGCTGTACAAAAGCTTTTTAATAAGATAAGGTCCCAACTGTTGATTCTTTGTAGTATTTCCTTTGTGGTCAGGGTTTTGTTCATGAAGTCTTTGTGTACTCCCTAATGTCCTCAAGCATTCTACCTATTCTTTCTTCCAGCATATTTAGTGTTTCTGTTTTAATACTTAATAGACTGTTGATATATTTTCATTTTATGTTAGTGCATGGTGAGAGACAGAGGTCTAGTATTTGTCTTTGGCATGCAGATGCCAATTTTTCCTGCACCATTTATTACAGAGGCTATCTTTCTTCCAGTCATAGGTGGCTGAGTGTTAGCGGTTATTTCTGCATTTCTTCTAATTTGTTCCACTGATTCTCAAAAGGTCTGCTTTTTTGTTTGTTTTTTTGAGACAGGGTCTCACTATGCAGTTCAGACTGCTATGGAACTCACTGTGTAACCCAGGCTGGTCTTGAACTCGCAGCAATCCTCCTGCCTCAGCCTCCTGAGTGCTGGGATTACAGGCGTGTTCCACCATGCCCAGCTGGTCTATTTTTGTTTTTGCCAGTACCCTGCTCTGTTTTCTTTTTTTTTTAAATCACAGTAGCTCTGTAGCATAATTTCAAGTCAGAAATTATGATGTCCCCTGCTTTGCCTTTGTTGCCCAGAAATGCTTTTGTTATTCTAGGTCTCTTCTGATTCATATGAATTGTAGGAATGATTTCTCTAGTTCTGTGACATATGCTGATGGTATTTTGATTGGGATTGCATTAAATCCGTAAAACAATTTTAGGAGTACGACTATTTTCATTATGTTGGTTCTTCCTACCCATGAGCAAGGATATCTTTCCCTTTTTTGTTTTGCTTTGTTTTCTTTGAGCTATGGTCTCATTGTGTATTTCAGGCTGGCCT